GGGACTCGATCCAGGGACTCCAGGATCATGACCTGAGCTGAAAGCAGTCGCTTAACCAGCTGAGCCTCCCAGGTGCCCCATCTTAACCATTTTTAAGTGCCTGGTGACATCAAGCACATTCACCATCCATCTCCAGAACTCTTTTCACCTTGCAAAATTGAAACTCTGTCCCCATAATAGTTTTTTTGATCCTTAAAATTTTCCCTTGGAGGGCATGGATTCTGGAGCCAGATGGCTCTGTTGGAGTCTCCATCTCCACCCCACCCCCTTACTAGCTGAGCGTGGGCACCTTCTGTCACCACTCTGTGCCTCGGTTTCCTTGTCTGTAATATGGGGATAATCTTAGTCCTAATCTCATAGTCCAGGGGCTCTCAAAAGTGTGGTTTCTGGACCACTGCAGCATCAGCAAAGCCTGGAAATTTGTTGCAAATGCAGATTCTCAGATGCTCTGTAAATAGGGCCCTATTTTAAAATAGGGTTTTAGCAAGCCCTCCAGGAGATTCTGAGGCTTGCTCAAATTTGAGAACCATTATCATAGGTTATTGGGAGGATTAAGTAGATGTAAAATACTTAGAGAGGTGCCTGACCTCACAGCCCAGCCCATACTGTGGAAATGCTCATTATCATTGTTGATATTATTCATGGAGGAGGTCCTACGGGGGGGGCGGTATCTGGCTGTGTCCTCTCTTCCCATCTGGTGGGGTCTGGGTTCCTGGTCTCTGCTGAACTGAGACCTTCTCGCCCTTTCTGTTGAAGATGACAGTGAGCTGGACCACGTCACCCCATCCATGGTTAAAGGTTATCACTTGGTCCTGGAAACGGAAAAGGTCGGGGTGGGGGGCCATGCCCATATCCCCTCTGCTGAAGGAGATAAAGGAGGTCACTTGCCTTCTCTATGACAAGTGGGGGGAGCCAGGATGTATAAATGAGGGGGCCAGGAGGCAGCAGAGTCACAGACACCCAGGGAAGTTGCCTCGCTGTGCCCCAGAGTCCCAGGTGTTGCTGTCCAGCATGGCCAAGCGCCCGCTGCTGTTGCTGCTGACCATGTGGGTGCTGGCTGGGGAGCTATGGCTGAGGGCTGAGGCCCGGGCATCGCCCTACGGAGTGAAGCTTTGCGGCCGGGAATTCATCCGGGCAGTCATCTTCACCTGCGGGGGCTCCCGGTGGAGACGGTCGGACATCCTGGCTCCTGAAGCTACGGGTGAGGCTGGGGAGGTAGCGTGTAGGGGGAGGGGGTGGACAGTGGATGGGACATGGGATGGTCCAAAGAGCCAGGGACGGGGCAGAAGAGTCCTTGTCCTACTACGTGCAACTGGAGGAACTTGCCCAGGCCTCAAAGTTGGGCGGAGGTGGGACAAGCCAGTTAGCAGAGCCAGGATGGGGGTGGCAAGCCATCTACACCCTCTAGTCATCCAAGAACTAGCTACTATTTCTGGAGCACCTGCCAAGTGTGAGCCTGCCTTAAGCAAGGCTGCTGCTTGCACAACTCCTAGGATGGGGGGATGGGGTGGGAGGTGGGACGCCATTTAGAAACTGACACTGAAGTGCTTTTCAACCTCCGAGGAAGGTAGTGTGGGGTACACAAGGCCAGATTTTGCCACCTAGCAGGTGACCTTCCTAACGAGTTGGTTACCCTCTCCGAGCCCCTTTATCTGAAAATAGGAGGCCCGGTCCCTGAATCTCCCAGGATGGTTAAGTGGCAACACTGAGTCAAAAACAGATTAGGACACCGTCTAAACTGGGCAGGGTGTTCAGTCGGGGTTCAAGCAGGGGGCATGGGGCCTAGTTTCATGAGGGGCAGGAGCCTGGCCAAATAAAAAGGGGGGGTTGTGATGATGATGGTATGCATATGGACTGGAAAGACGCACTGCCTGGGTTCAGGTAGCAGCCCTACAACTTCATAGCTGGGTTTTCTTTCTTTCTTTTCTTTTTTTTAAGATTTTATTTATTTGACAGAGAAAGACACAGCGAGAGAGGGAACACAAGCAGGGGGAGTGGGAGAGAGAGAAGCAGGCCTCCCGCGGAGCAGGACCCTGGGATCATGACCTGAGCCGAAGGCAGACAGACGCTCAACCGACTGAGCCACCCAAGCACCCCCATAGCTGAGTTTTCTTGCACAAGTTAGTCTACCAAATCGTGCCTCGGTGTTCTCGTCTGGAAATTGGAGATGATAACAGCTGCACTCACTTCATGGGGTTGTCATTGTGAGGAATAAAGGAGTTAATCCACTAAATCCTTTAAAACAGTGTCTGGCACATAGTAAGTGCTCAATAAATGATCAGTGCTATTTTGAATGCTTCTCGTGTGCCAGACACTGTTCTAAGCTTTTCTTTGGGTATTATCTCATTTACTCCATATAAAACTCTAGAAGAAAGGAGTTATTAGTACCCCCACTTTGCAGAGAAGGAAACCAAGAGTCAGAGAAGTAAATTCATATGCTCAGGATTATAACTCAGAGAGGCTGGATTGGTGCTTAGTTCAGCTCCCAAACATATGTTCTTTTTTTTAAGAGCCCCATTTTATTTTTTATTTTTATTTAGATGTATTTATTGATTTGAGAGAGAGAGAGAAATAGCATGAGTGGGGGGGAAGGGGCAGAGGGAGAGGGAGAGACAGAATCCTCAAGCAGACTCCCCACTTCACTGAGTGCAGAGCCTTACGTGAGGCTCGATCCATGACCCTGAGATCATGACCTGAGCCAAAATCAAGAGTCGGAGGCTTAACTGATGGAGCCACCCAGGTGCCCCCCAAACACATGCTCTTAACCATCAGATTCTCAATAAAGAGTAGGAGAAAAGAAATGACAAGAGAGAAAAGGCAAGCTCAGTGAGGTGGAATAATTTGCCCACCAAAGCTGGAACCTGGGCTTGAATGGAGTAAAACCTTTGACCATGAGGCTGCATCACAAGAATCGAAGTAGCTGGGCCAGCCAGACTCTGGGTGTGACAGAAACTGAGCCCCAAGCCCTAACTCTTTTCATCTTTCCCCTTCCCAGATGCAGACTCGGACCCAGACAGTGAGCTGGATGAGTCAGTAGCCTCCAGCGAGTGGTTGGCCCTGACCAAGTACCCCTGGGCTTTCTATGGGAGCCGACCCGGCTGGCAGGGGACTCCGGGGGCTCTGCGTGGTGGCCGTGATGTCGTGGCAGGCCTCTCCAGCAACTGCTGCAAGTGGGGGTGCAGTAAGAGTGAAATCAGCAGCCTCTGCTAGACTAATGACTGGGGGGGCCAGGGGCCCAGGGTCCAGCTGGGCACCTGTCTCTGGCCTCATCAGGTCAGGCGCTGTGCACTTGGACACAGTCCCCCCTAAATGACCCTGACCTTTGACCAGCCTATCCTCACCTGGCCGAATGGAAACCTCTGGTCCTGACCCCTGACCTCTTCCCAGCCTGGCCTAGGCTCTCTGCTGCAATGGTGCCCCTACTCTACCCAAACTGATCTACCCTCATCCAGACCTTAGCCCTAGCCCTGATTCTCTCTTGCCCCAACTGTGGCCTCTGTCTCCCGACCAGCCCAAATTATGTTCCTGCTCCATTCCAGCCCTCGCCCACTCCTTTCTCCCTGCCTTCCAGCCCCTCCCCCTCCAGCCCCACCTGCTGGCGTTCTAAAGCTGGGGACCCTAGAACTGGTGGTGGGAGCCCTGGGTTCCCTTCATACCCTGGGGTGGGAGGCTCGGTGAGGGGACGGATCAGAACCTTCTTCAACCCCAATAATAAAAGTTCCAAAGGACTTCGCGGCGTGTGAGTGTGTCATGGCGGGGGTGGGGGGTGTTGGGTGTCGCACCGGCTCCAGGGGTGCTCGGCGGCGGCCGCCGCCGCAAGCCCCAAGCCGTCCCCCCTCCCCTTCCGCTGCCCAGCCGGCGCCGCCGGGGACTTTCCGCCGCGGGGAAGGGGCGGGGTCCCGGAGCGCAAGGTGCGGAGGCGGCTGGGAGGGGAGGGGCGCTTCCCGTCGCCGCTCGGCGCCGGGGCCGCACAGCCAGGCGAGCGGCGGGGCCGCGCTGGGCCGGGCAGGGCCTGGCGGGACTCGGGGCGCGGTGCGGCGCCATGCGGGGGGCCCGGGCCGCCCCCTTCCGGCCGCGGCCGAAGCTGGTGCTGCTGCCTCTGCTGTTGCTGCTGGGCCACCGGACGCGGTCCCAGGGTGAGTTGTGGAGCGAGCCCGTGGCAGGCGCTCGGCCGCCGCGCTCGCCGCCAGAGCGCCGAGCCTCCGCGTGCACCGCAGGTTTGCGGAATGAACGCCCCAGGTGCAGACGCCACCCTGCACCTCCCCGGGCAGGGACCGGGCGGAGAGAGGAGTTGGCGCACGGGGGCGGGGAGGGGGAGGGGGTCGGCCGCGAGGTGGGAGCCCGAGGCCCCGGGGTGGTAACAGGATGTGGCTGGCAGAGGGAGGGGAGGAGTTATGCCCGAAGCCTGGGGAGGGGTGTCCAGCGCCCCCTTCCTGCTGCTCATCCCCGGAAGGGACCCCCGGATCGCCCTCCACAATTGGCAGAAGTCGGGGGGAAGTTCAGGTTCTGCATGTGCAGGATGGGGGAATTGAGCCCCTTCCCTGGGACATCCTCCCCACCCCACCCTCCCCTCCCTCTCCAGACAGCCCTGGGCCACTGCAGTGCTATGGAGTTGGACCCTTGGGCGACCTGAACTGCTCGTGGGAAGCTCTTGGGGACCTGGGAGCCCCCTCCACGCTGAACCTCCAGAGCCAGAAGTAGTGAGTACAACCGGCTGACTTGGGGAAACTGAGGCTTTAGAGGGGTGGCCACTCAGGTCCCAGCATAACTCAGGTTGAGAGGACGCCAATACTTCTGCTCCGCAGCCCTACCCCTCTCCAGCCCTTCGATTCCAGGTTTCAGCATTTCCTTGTTGTGTGAGCCTAGACCAGTCACCTTCCCTCCCTGTTCCTCTCTTTCCTCCTCCGTCAAAAGGTGATAATAAAGAAACTGCCTCCCAGCGTTAGTTGTGAGGATTCAATGATTTAGGCATTGGCAAAGAGAAATTGCTTAATAATTAGAAGCTGTTTTTTATTGCTGTGTGGCCTTAGGCAGGTAGCCTAACTTCTCTGAGATTATAAAAAGATACTTTGGTCTGGTGCCAGGGATGCAGCAATGAAAGAGGTAGACAGAAAGCCTGGCCCTCGTGGAGCCCACAGTCAAGGGGGAGACCTGGGTTCCTTCGTGATGAATCACACCTGCAAACTCAAATTCATTTCAAATTTGGCTAAGTGAGGGAGGAGTAAAGGCTTTGAAAGGTGGGAACCACGGTGGGGTGGTGGGTATTTTTGTTTTTTAAGATTTATTTATTTATTTATTTGAGAGAGAAATAGCGAGTGAGCACACAGAGGGAGAGAGAGAAGCAGGCTCCTGCTGAGCAGGGAGCCTGACGTGGGGCTCAATCCCAGGACCCTGGGATCATGATCTGAGCCGAAGGCAGACGCTTAACTGACTGAGCCACCCAGGCGTCACTTGTTTTTGTTTTTTTTTTATTGATGATAAAATACTCATAAAATTTACTATCTTTTTTTTCTCAACCATTTTTAAGTGCACAGTTCAGTGACATTAAATACATTCACATTGTTGTGCAATCATCACTGCCATTCCTTTCCAGAGAGGCCTGGTTTTAAATGATGTAAGACAGAGGAGTCAGAGAAGGTCCCCCCCTTTTTTTAATGGATAAATTCACATCACATAAAGCTAACCCACTTTTTAAATATATTTTATTTACTGATTTGACAGAGGGAGACACAGGGAGAGAGGGAACACAAGCAGGGGGAGTGGAAGAGGGAGAAGCAGGCTTCCTGCCCAGCAGGGAGCCTGATGTGGGGCTCAATCCCAGGACCCTGGGATCATGACCTGAGCTAAAGACAGACGCGCAACGACTGAGCCACCCAGGCGCCCCAAAGCTAACCCATTTTTAAATGAACAATTCATGGAGTGCCTGGGTGGCTTCCACTCAGTGGAACCACTGAAGTTCCACTCAGGTCATGATCCTAGCATCCTGGGATTGAGCTCCATGTCAGGCTCCCTGCTCAGCGGGGAGTCTACTTCTCCCTCTCCCTCTACTCCTCCCCCTGCTCATGCTTTCTTCCTCTCTCTCTGTCAGATAAATAAATAAAATCTTAAAAAAAAAAGAACAATTCAGTGGCATTTGGTACATTCACAGTGTTGTGCAACCACCTCCTCTGTCTAGTTCCAGAACATTCTCATCACCCCAAAAGGAAGTTCCATCCCCATGAGCAGTCACTCCCCATTGTCCTCCCCCAACCCCCCACCAGCCCCTGGCAACCACCGTCCTGCTTTCTATCTATGGATTTGCCTGTTCTGAACATTTCATATAAATGGAATCATAAGAAATATGGCCTTTTGTGTGTGGCTTCTTTCACTTAGCATGTTTTTGAGGTCCATCCACATGGTAGTAGGAGTCGGAACAACCTTCCTTTTTATGGCTGAGTGATATTCCACTGTATGGATCCACCACACTTGGTGTAGCCATTCATCTGTTGGTGGACATGTGGTTTGCTTTCACCTTTTGGTGATTGTGACCTGCACTGTTATGAACATACATGGACAAGTTCTTGAGTTCCTGTTTTCAATGCTTTGGGGTCTGTGCCTAGGAGTGGAATTGCTGGGTCCTATAGCAATTCTGTGTTTTAACTTTTTGAGGAACTGCCAAACTGTTTTCTGCAGCAGCTGCGACATTTTCAGTTCCCACCAGCAGTGTACAAGGGCTGCAATTTCTCCACATCTTCACCAACACCTGCATTTTTGTTGTTGCTGTTGTTTTATGAAGGCCTTATTCTGAACCTCTGAAATCTAATGCTTCAGGATATCCTCAACGCCCGGCTCGCTGTCACCCACATCTGGTCTTGTCAGCAAGCCTTGCCGGCTCCACTTTCTACATTATCCAGAATCTGACACTCTCTACTTCCTGGGCACCCACCCTGGTCCAACCCCCCCATCCATCATGGTTAACCTGGGCCGTGCAGTCAGTAACCTCCTCCCTCCGGGCCCCTGGCTTGCACCTTCAAGCCCACAGTCCGTTCTCCGCCACAGCCGCCAGGGGGCGCCTGTGAACATCTGCGTCAGGCACATCTCCGCTTTGCTCCCCGTCCTCCAGGGGTCCCACCTCACTCAGAGTAAAAGCCCAAGTCTTTCCTGTGGCCCGCCAGGCCTTGCACACTCTGCCTGTCACCTCCCTGCCCTCACCTCCTCCCACTGTCCCCCTCACTCGTTCCACTCCTGTCCTGCAGGCCTCCTCCTTGCTGTTTCTCAAACACACCAGTGAGTGTACCTCAGGGCCTTTGCACCTGCCACGGCTGCCTCTTCCTAAAATGCTTTCCCCCAGGTACTGCACGGCTCCATCCTCCTGTCCTTCAGGCCTTTGTTCAAAAGTCTCCTCCTCTGGGAGATCTCTCCTGACCACCCTGCCTAAAATAGCACTGTCATTCCTCACCACATCATCACATTGCATCCTCTTCACCCTGAAGACTATCCTTTATCATCAATCATATACTTAACTGTTTCGCTAACTGGGTAGTTGCATAAGTGTAAATGTGCGGACATATAAGTAGGTGCCAATAAATATAATAAGCAATGCTCACATAACATGTATTGGGCATCCAGTGCTGTTCTAAACACATTCCATTTATTAGCTCATTGATTCCCTTCACTCTCCGGCTCTTCAGCAGGTACTTCTATCACCCTCGTTTTGTAGCTGAGGGCACAGGCACAGAGAAGTCAAGTCACTTGTTCAAGGTCACACAGCTCTGAAGCAGCAGAGCTGGGTTTTGAACCCAGGCAGAAGAGTTATCATTATGGCTTTGGACCCAACCCCAAATACACCACACACCCCCATCCCCACCTCTCTTCTCCACAGCCATTCCAACAGAACGTGGACTGTGGCAGTGCCCACTGGACAGAGCTGGGTGACCGTCCCCCGGGAGCAGCTTACCATGTCCGATGAACTGCTTGTGTGGGGTACCAAGGCAGGCCAGCCTCTCTGGCCCCCAGTCTTCGTGAACCTGGAAACCCGAAGTAACAGGCGGGATGGGGGGGTGTGCTTTGTGTGGAGTGGGTGGTCCCGGAGGCCCTGGCTTAATGCATCTGGCCTCCCCTTCCTCAGTGAAGCCAGATGCCCCCCGGCTGTACCCTGACGTGGACTTTTCAGAGGATGAGCCCCTGGAGGCCACTGTCCATTGGGCCCCACCTGTGTGGCCACCCCATAAGGTCTTGGTCTGCCAGTTCTACTATCAAAGATGCCAGGGGACAGCCTGGACCCTGGTGAGTGTCAGGGGCCCCCTATTCCCCACCCTATTCCAGGCAGGGCCCAGGGCATCATCCCTAAATCAGAGACCCAGCCCAGAGCCCGTTCCTTACTTGTCCTTATAGTCTGTCCACATTTCCCACAAAAGACCTGTACATGCATCTTGTTCAGCTAAAAAATCACCCCCCCACCAAATAATCTAAAATTCCATGCAGTCCCAATCCCAAATTCCACTTGGAATTTTTGAGAAACTCAGTAAACTTCCTCTAACATTTTTGTGAATGAATAGAAGGCCTCCAGTAGCTTACATTAACCTTAAAATAAGAATAACAGAAGACATTTAGAGAGCATCTACTGTGTGCCAGACACTCTTCTAGGCCCCTTATTGAACCCTTACAAGAACTCTTTGAAGTAGGTGCATTTTATACCTACCCATTTTACAGATGAGGAGCAAGGCTTGGTTTAAATAAACACCCCCAAATAATGAATAAAGGCAGCTGACGTTTCTGAGCGCCTGCTGTGCATCAGGTCCCAGGCTAATTGCATGGATTATCTTGATGAGTCCCTCCCAACCTCCCTTTATAGTAGATGCTTTTATTTATTTATTTTATTTATTTATTTTTTTTAAGATTTTATTTATTTATTTGAGAGAGAGAGAATGAGAGATAGAGAGCACAAGAGGGAAGAGGGTCAGAGGGAGAAGCAGACTCCCTGCCGAGCAGGGAGCCCGATGTGGGACTCGATCCCGGGACTCCAGGATCATGACCTGAGCCGAAGGCAGTTGCTTAACCAACTGAGCCACCCAGGCGCCCCTATTTATTTGTTAATTTGTGTTTATTTTAAGTAAACTCTGCGCCACACATGGGTCTCAAACTCAGGACTCCAAGATCAAGAGTCGTATACTCCATTGACTGAGCCAGCCAGGCGCCCCCCTAGCAGATGCTTTTAAGATATCTATTTCATAGTTGGGGAAGCCAACCTCAGAGAATTTAAGCACCTTACCAAGCTCACACAGCAAGAAAAATGGAGGAGAACTCTGGAGCAAGGAGACCCCAGAAGAAGTTGGGGTATCAGCCCATGTACTTTGTACAACCCAGAAGTTAACTTATCCTCTCCTATCTCATTGGCCAGAACACAGTCACGTGGTCTCACCTGATTCTAAGGGAGGCTGGGAAATGGAGTCCTTACTCTTGGCAGCCACATTCCCAGCTGATACTCAGGGCTTCTATTTCCAAAAGTAGAAGGGGAGAATGGATATTGGGGATAAGCAGTTGTCTCAGCCACCTCATGCAAAACATCACAAGGTAGAAGAGAGTTGTCATTGTGATTATTCATGCATTTCAGAGAAAGGCTGAGAGATGCAGACTTTGGAGTCTGACTGCCCGGGTATGAATCTCATCTCCAGCACTCCTCTGCTTTGTGACCTTGGGCAAGTCACTTCCCCTCTCTGGGCCTCAGTTTTCCTCAACTGTAAAATGGGGATAATAATAGAATTCACTACTTAACCGCTATATGTGACCCATAGGGTGGCCAGTTCATCTCCTCTTTTTGCTGGGGATTATCCTAATTTCAAAGCCAAAAGCCCTGTGTCCTGAGAACCCCCATGGTCTGGAACAAAGCAGGATAGTTGGAGCCTGCTGACATATCAGGTCAAGTAGTCTCAACTCAGTCCTCAGCTTCCTTGCTCTTTCCTCTATCCCCCAGCTGGAACCAGAAGTGAAGTCCATGCCCCTGGCCCCTGCTGAGATCCAGAACCTGGAGCTGGCCACTGGCTATGAGGTGCGTGGCCGCTGCCGAATGGAGAAAGAAGAGGATCTGTGGAGCGAGTGGAGCCCCATTTTGTCCTTCCAGACACTGCCCTCTGGTGAGGGTCTTCGGGCTTGCCCCTACAGCCTCATCTCCCCTCCTAGCAGTCTGTACCACTAGGCCGCTCTCATTTGTACCCCCTTCCCTCATCCTTGACAGCTCCAAAAGATATATGGATATCTGGGAACCTCTGTGGGACACCAGGCAGACAGGAACCCCTGCTTCTGTGGAAGGTGAGCTGTGGAGAGCAGTTCCATTCTTTCTGCATATGTCCAGAAGCCCCACATAACACCAGTGTAAACAAGACAGCAGTTCCGATGCCGCCTTCTTGAGGTTGCTCCAAGGCTCCAAGGAGGGGATGCTCAGAGAGGCCCTAGCATAGTGCTGGGCACAAAGCAAGCCTCCGGAGATCTGAGCTGAGACGTGAAGGTGTGTACAGGTGTTCCAAGAAGGGGGGAACAGCAGGTGCAGAGGTTTGAAAGCAGGACTAGGCTCAGCTCCGTAAAATACAGCACAGTGTGCCAGGGCTTGGATGCTAGTATCAAAATGGCATTAGGAGTTGATAGACAGTGATGCAGCCATCCTCACTCATCCAAATCTGTTGAGCATCTGCTATGTTCCAGGCATTGCTAGGCCCTGGCTCACAGTAAATATGGCAAGGAACAAAACAACAGGGCCCATACCGTCTTAGGCCACACAAGCTAATATTAAGTTTAACCACACATAACACAGAGCTCTTACTATGTGCCAGGTTCTAGCCTACACGCTCATTTATATCAACTGAATTTACAGATGAGAAAAATGAGACACAGAGAGGTTGCTCCAGACCACACAACTGGTAAGTGGCAGAGCTGAGATTCACTGGCTTTCAAACAGCAATTCACAGCCTCAGTGTCTCTATATCATAACACATACTTTGTAACACCCTTTACTATACTGAAATGAAACAAAAAGATAACCCATTTTTCTCATGTTTTAAAGAATATATAATAAAGTGTTCTAATTGTAATATTCTGTAGAAGATAAAGGGAAAATAAGGTAACTGCATATGGCAATCTGCTGTTCACCAATATGAGATGAGCACTAAATCTGTATGTACCTAATAATAGAGCTTTAAAATACATATAGCAAAAATTGACAGAACTACAAGGAGAAATACATGAACCCACAACCATTGTGGGAGATTTTAATACACCCCATTGGTGATTTCATAATAGATGGAAAACAAGTCAAGATCTGGAATATTTGAACATGTGATTAACAAACAACCTAATGGACTCACAGAGGAAATGTCAGAACATGCCTTTCTTCCATATACAATTAGGACACTTACCAAAGTCAACCACACACCAGGCCATAGAACCAGTTTCCAGGGACTTCAAAGTGGTGAGGTGATGCAGGGCACATTAAAGAATTCTCTAATTAGAACACAGATTGTGCTGGGAACTGATCATAAAAACTGTCCAGAAAGTCCCCATGTATCCTGAATATTTAAAAATTCAGTGAGTACTGGGGCCCCTGGGTGGCTCAGTCGTTAAGCGTCTGCCTTCGGCTCAGGTCATGGTCCCGGGGTCCTGGGATCGAGCCCCGCGTCGGGCTCCGTGCTACACAGGAAGCCTGCTTCTCCCTCTCCCGCTCCCCCTGCTTGTGTTCCCTCTCTTGCTGTGTCTCTCTCTGTCAAATAAATAAAATCTTAAAAAAAAAAAATTCAGTGAGTGTTAAAACTAGGTCCCCCCCACCGAAGATTTTGTCTAAGTACATCAAAAGGAGTTTGGTTCTAGGATCAGTTAACATTATTAGACAGGATATTCATCTACAAAAGTTTTTCCTCTATACAACAGTGGGAATTTTGAAATCCCAAAGAATTGCACAGGACACAGACTAGGATGAGGTGAGTAAGGCAGGGTCAGATCCCGTCTCTACTGAAAATCTTGAAATTTTGTTTGTCATGGGTTGTTTGGCCTTAATTTTGATAGAATAAAGTATAATTTTTCTTGATTATTGGGATTTTGGTATCCTCCCCTTTAATTTTTGCAACCAAGGGGAGTGCCTTACTCACTTCCCCCTAGTTTGGGTCCTGGAACTGCGTTCTAATGTCACCTCTGCCACTGAGCCCCCCCGAGACTTAGTTTCTTCATCTGTAAGGTGTAGCCAACAGAAATATTTCACTGGCTGGTTTGTCAGGTGGACCTCACTGAGATATACAGCATGTGCCTGATAAATGGGAGATACTAACCCCTTCTTCCTCTCATCCCTCAGGACCGGGGGCACTGCGTGCAGATGAGCTATAAAGTCTGGTTCCAGGCTGAAGACCAGGAGCTGATCCAGAAGACGGCTCCCTGCTGCAGCTCCTTCATCCCCACCCAGGCCGAGTGGGTCGGGGTGTCTGCCGTCAATGCCACGAGCTGGGAGCCTCTCACCAACCTTTCTTTGGCCTGCTTGGGTAAGAGGCTGTGAATTTCCTCAGAGCAGTTCCCTGGCGAGGGAGGCGGGGACTTCCTGAGTGGACAGCTGAGACTTCTCCAACCCCCATCTAGGTACCGACGTCACCCCCCATGGCGTGGTGGTCAGCAACGTTGCCGGCAGCACAGAGCTGCTGGTGACTTGGCAGCGGGGGTCTGGGGAGTTGCAGGAGCATGTGGTGGACTGGGCTCGAGACGGGGATCCCCTGGAGGACCTCAACTGGATCCGGCTTCCCCCTGAGAACCTCAGTGTTCTGTTGCCAGGTGAGGCCCTGGGACACCTGGGTCCCTATATCAGCTACTGCAGAGCAGACTGACGAGTGGACCTGCAGAAGAGAATGTTGTGGTTAAGGTGTCATTAATTCCTGCAAGCAGTGTTCATTGACAACACTCACTATGTACCAGGCTGTGTTCTAGACACTGGTATCTGCAGTGATAGCAGCTGATGTCTACTGGCATTTACCAGCAGCATTAAATTACTCAGACTTCCTTATGAGGTAAGTTTCTGTTATTATCATGCTCGAGGTAGAGATGAAGAAGGAGGCCCAGGGAGGTGAAGCAACTTGCCCGAGGCCACACAGCAAATAGATTGTAGAACCAGGATTTGAACCACATACTCGAGCCCCTCAAGCCAGGCCCTGAACCATCACGCCATTCTCTCTCTCAGCAACATCCCCATCCTCATGGAGCTGACTTTCTTGTGGAGTGAGCAGCCCAATGAAACAAACAAACAACAACTAACCATGTACATCTGTAATGTGCTTGGGGAAAAAAAAAATAAAACAGGGCAAAGGGGATGAGGCACAATTGATATTTTAGAAAGAAAGGTTTTTAGAAAAGGCCTTTCTGGAACAGCAGTGTTTGAACCAAGACCTGAAGGAGGTGAGAGAGGGAGCTATGAGGAAGTCTGAGGGAAAAGCAAGAGGGAACAGACAGTGCAAAGGCCCAGAGGCAGGAATGTGCCTGATGTATTAGAACAGCAAGGAGGCCCGCATGGCTGGAGTGGAATGAGGGGGAGAGTGGGAGGAGGTGAGGGCAGGGAGGTGACAAGCAAATTGTGCAAGACCTGGTGGACCACAGGAAGGACTTGGGCTTTTGCTCTGTATGAGGTAGGAACCGTGGAGCATTCTGAGCAGAAGAGGGAAATGCCCTGACTCAGTAGCTGACAGTTGCTGTCTGGTTGCTCTTGTGGGGAGTGGACTGGGGAAGGGGTCAGGGCCGTACCACGTGGGAACTGAGGAAGGGAGAGAAGCAGGCAGGTTCTGATTGGAGGTCCTGGGGCAGAATTTTGGGGATCCATTTGGATATGTTGTGTTGGAGATGTTCATCAGAATGGAGCTGTCCATGGGGCTGTTGGCTACTGAGGTCTGGGGGCTTGCAATGAGTTGTGGGCTGGGGTGTGGCATTGGGGAGCCCATCTTTGGTGTAAACGACTTGGGGGAGCACGGGAAGGTATTGAGTGAAACATTTAGGAAGGACAGAGTTCTTCCTAAGGAAGGAGGACCCCCGATTCTGGAAAATTCCCACTTGGGGAAGGCCGGGCAGCATCAGTAGGTTTTGCGAAGGGACTTCAGGAGCCTCACCCACTATAATGGGGATTATCAGGGCCCCACCCAGAGCCTGGTGTTTAAGCATCTCCCAGTCTGGCACCTGCCTTTCCTGGCCTGAAGGCTTTCTCTGGTCCCTGAAGCATTTTGCCCATCTGAGCAGCAGTTTGGAAGCGCTGGTGATTTAAGTCGCCTCAGATGCCGCCTGTCACCAATTACTAAAAAGGGTTGGTGGATAAATATCCCAGCTTCCTCCCTCCTTAGCTGGGCTCCCAGAGGTCGCCAGCGGGATTGCCTGCACTGGGAACTTGTTCTCATTTACTAGCTGCCTTTCTTTCCCTATTTCACTTCCCAGCTGCCCTGTTGGTATTCTGTGGGGTTACCACCCAGAAAAATTACTGTTACCCAAGTATTTATCTCAGCATGTCCTTCAGGAGACCCAAATGAAGACGCCTACCGAGTAGGAAATGAGTAGGGGAGGGCGAGCCAACTGTAACTCTCTTTGCTCCTCCACTGACCAGGGAATTTTGAAGGAGGGGTCCCCTACCGAATCACAGTGACAGCAGTCTCTCCTTGGGGCTTGGCCCCTGCCCCCCCAGTCTGGCGGTTCAGAGAGGAACTGGGTAAGTGGTGGAGCAGGAGAATGGGGGATTCCCCTGGAACCCTGGCTGGCCTTGACCCACTGGCTTTCTCCCCAGCACCCCTAGCCGGGCCAGTGCTTTGGCGACTCCAGGATGCCCCCCCAGGGACCCCCGCCATAGCGTGGGGAGAGGTCCCAAGGCACCAACTCCGGGGCCATCTCACCCACTACACTGTGTGTGTACAGAGCGGGACCAGGCCTTCTGTCTGCATGAATGGTGAGCTTCACCGCCTCCTGCCCCACAAGACCCACCCATCAGTCTACCCCAGCCTTGTCCCCAGATGGGCCCCTTTGCCTCCCTCTCAGGCCCTGGGAAAATCTGTGATGGCATCTGTTCCCTAGTGGACAATAACCCTCGTGGCTATCAATATAATGGACTGTCATTTGACCATTAAAAACGAAGACTCTGATCTATATTTATTGACATTGAAAGATGTCTGTCATGTTTATTAAGTGAAAAAGACAAAAAGCTGACAAAACTCCACAAGGTGGTTCCATTTGTGTAAAATAAACCTGGCACTGAGCAAAGCAGAGGCACAAATGTGAAAAGAGATTGCCCACAATGTCAACAGGATTATGTATGATTTTTATTTCTTTTTCCTACCTTTGGGTATAGGCTACATTTTTACTCAGAAGACAAAAATTCCTTTTTATTTTTTTAAATTTGTTAAAGATTATTTATTTATTTGTGAGAGAGTGAGAGTGAGAGAGGGAACACAAGCAGGGGGAGTGGCAGGCAGAGGGAGAAGCAGACCCCCCGCTGAGCAGGGAGCCCGATGTGGGACTCGATCCTAGGACCCCAGGATCATGACCTGAGCTGAAGGCAGACGCTTAACCAACTGAGCCACCCCGGTGTCCCAACACGAATTCCTTAAAAATACCTTTATTACCCCTTTTTTTCCTAATTACAAAAGTTATCTGTGCTTATTACCATAGCTGACACATTAAAGGAGTATGTCATCAAGAACATCAGCATTCTCGGGGCACCTGGGTGGCTCAGTCTGTTGGGCGTCCAACTCTTGATTTTGGCTCAGATCATGATATCAGGGTCATGGGATCGGGCTCCCCCCTTGGCAGGGAGCCTGCTTGGGATTCTCCCCCCCTCCCCCACTGCTGTTTCTCAAATAAATAAATCTTTTTTTTTTTAAGAATATGCACATTCTCATAATTTTGCTGACACTGGTAATGCAGCTTCCACACTTTTCCATGCATCTGTTAACACAGAGATAGGAGTTGTGTTCTTTGAAGATTTTTGACTTTGTATTATAGAAAATTCAAGCACATACAAAAGTAGGGAGACTAGTATAACAAACCCTGGTGTGCCCACCAGGTGTCAACAGTTACCTACTTTCTGCCAATCTGCTTTAATTTTATCCCCTGCACTTTTTTTCTAGAGTTTTTTTTTTTTTTTTTAAGGTTTATTTATTTATTTATTTGACAGAGACAGAGAGAGAGCACAAGTAGGCAGAGAGGCAGGCAGAGGGAGAGGGAGAAGCAGGCTTCCCGCGGAGCAGGGAGCCCGATGCGGGGCTCGATCCCAGGATCCTGGGATCATGGCCTGAGCCGAAGGCAGACGCTTAACGACTGAGCCACCCATGCGCCCTTTTTCTGGAGTCTTTTGTGTCATTTTACCCCTAACTACATCAGTGCTTCACTATTTGTTTCTAACTGATAAAGCCTATTTTTTAACATAATTACTTTGCCATGATTGCGCATTACAAAAGTCTATATCGATCATTAGATTAAAATTTTTATGGTTTTATTTTTATTTTTTTAAAAGATTTTATTAGAGAGAGAGCATGTGCATGAATGGGGGGAGGGGCAGAGGGAGAGAAGCAGACTCCCCTCTGATTGCAGAGCCTGCCTTGGGCCTCGATCCCAGGACCCTGAGATCATGACCTGAACCAAAGTCTGATCCTTAACCAACTGAGCCACCCAGGCGCCCCATTTTTATTTTTTTAGATTAAAATGGTTATACATATCTATGTTATTAAATATAGGTACATTTATTATTATTATTATTATTATTATTATTTTAGAGAGGGAGAGAGAATCTTAAGCAGGTTCCACGCCCAGTGCGGAGCCTGATGCAGGGTTCAATCTCACCACCCTGAGATCATGACCTGAGCCAAAATCAAAAAGTCGGATGCTTAACCAACTCAGCCACCCAGGTGCCCCTGGATTATTATTATTTTAAAAAGAGGACCATGTAATAGACTATAGTTTGGCCTCTCAATCTCTTATGACTGTGATGTTTTGCAACTTTCTTTTTTTCACCTGCTGATTTAGCTTGGACATCTTTCTACGGCAACAGAGCTCGATCAGTGTTCATGTCTCCCATCATCCTACAACAAATCAAAAAGCTACTTCCTCTTTTGGCTTAAAAGCAAAAAAGAGGGGCGCCTGGGTGGTTCAGTCGTTAAGCATCTGCCTTCGGCTCAGGTCATGATCCCAGGGTCCTGAGATCAAGCCCCGCGTCGGGCTCCCTGCTCACAGGGAAGCCTGCTTCTCCCTCTCCCACTCCCCCCGCTTGTGTTCCTGCTCTCGCTGTGTCTCTCTCTGTCAAATAAATAAATAAATAAAATCTTTAAAAAAAAGAAAAGCAAAAAAGAGCAGTTTAGTAAAAACAAGTAAACAAATATAGTTCTGGGAGGTGCACGTCTTCCCCGTCTAGGGAGAATCTCCATTCACTGGATTAGTGTGTAGATGGGGGATACGATGCTCATTCTTTCTTTTATTTACTTGAATAAATATCATTTTTGAGTGCTTTCTGTGTGCCAGCCACTGATCCAGGTGCTGGGAATATGGCCCTTGTGGAGCTAACTTTCTAATGGTCAGAGAAGGCCTCACTGAGGAGGTGAAATTTGAGCAAAGACCTGAAGGCGGGAGCCATGTGGATATCTGGAGAGAGTGTTGCAGACAGGGAGGAAACACATGCAAAGGCCCTGAGGTAGGACTTGACTGCCTCCCCAACCTCTTGGTGTGTCCTTCAGTGAGTGGCAGCACCCGGAACATCACCCTGCCCGACCTTCCTTGGGGTCCTTGTGAGCTGTGGGTGACCGCATCCACCATCGCGGGACAGGGGCCACCTGGTCCCAGCCTCCGGCTTCACCTACCAGGTAGTGGGGTGGGGTGGGACTGCCACAGGAGGGGACCTGCTCAACTTCAAGGAGATCGGGGTTTCAGTGAATGAGCAACCTTTTGACTTGGGGGTGGTTACTGATGACACCTCAGGGGCATTCTGATCCTTCTAAATACTCTGGATTATCAGACAGTGTCTCTGACCCTTTCACCCCTCCCTGACCTTGACCTATCCCTGATGACTGTTTTATTCACAAGCCCCACTCCCACTCCAAAGTCTCCGTGCGCTTAGTCCCTACCCACTCATAAGCATCCCCCCTTTACCTGCCTCCTTCACCCAAGCCCTGCCCCGTGCATGATCCTTTCCTGATCCCGCCCCCCGCACCCCTGGTATCCAAATATTCTTCTGCCTCTTGGCCTCAGATAACACCCTGAAGTGGAAAGTTCTGCCGGGTGTCTTTCTGCTGTGGGGCTTGCTCCTGACAGGCTGTGGTGTGAGCCTGGCCACCTCTGGAAGGTGAGGCTGTCAGACATGCGGGTCTCTTCCCCGGGTGGGGAGGGCGGCTGGACACTAGCTCAGCTTTGGTGGGAGCGGGGGGCAAGAAGTGAGGGGACGCCTCAGGGCTCCGTGACGTTCCTGGGCTCTGCAAACTGGGCCTGGGTATCAGGTCACCTAGGTTCTCTGCCTTCTTACCTGCTGGCCAGGTGCCTCCACCTTCGGCACAAGGTACTGCCCCGCTGGGTCTGGGAGAAGGTTCCAGATCCGGCCAACAGCAGTTGTGGCCGGCCCCACATGGAGGTGAGCAAAAAGGCTGGCTTGTCCAGGCCCTCTGGGAGGTTGGCAAATGCAGGGACAGCGGGCAGTGGGTGGCAGCAGGTCAGGGAGAATGGGGGGGCAGAATCCCCATCTCTTCTCTTCCCAGGAGGTGCCGCAGGCTCAGCCCCCCGGGGACTTCCCCATCCTGAAAGTGGAGGAGATGGAGCCACTACCGGTTCTGGAGCCCCCCCAGGCCCCCCCGCAGCTGGACTCTGGCTATGAGAAACACTTCCTGCCCACCCCCGAGGAGCTGGGCCTTCTGGGCCCACCCCCAGGTCCTGAGTTCTGGCCTGAACCCAGCCCAGGCCAGGAGAGGGGTGCCCATTTGACAGATGAAGACACTGAGGCTCAGAGAGGCTGAGTCCCTTGCCTGAGGACACCCAGCCAGGAAGAAGAGGTTGAAGGACCCCCTACAAAGGAGGGCCTGGCCCTCCCGGAAATATTTGGATGGAGGAGGGAGCAAAGGACCACGTATGAATGCGAGCAGCAGCTCCGTCCCCCGATCTGTCCCGCGGCTAACTGTAGCTGGGTGCCCCGCTGCCCCCTGCCCTGCAGCCGGGTGCAGCCCCAGGTTCCCGCCGCTGGCGGACTGCAGACTGCGGGCAGGAGTGCCGCGGGCTGGGGCCCCGACGGGGTTAGGGCTCCTCCGCACTCTCTCCCCACGCCCACGGGCTGGAACACCAGTGTGCCCGCGATCCAGATCCAGCTCTAACGGGAGGGCACGGTGGAGCAAGAAGGGGAAAGGAACCTCAGGCCCCGAGGGACTGCGGGACTCTGAGCCACCCGGAGAAATACACTTTCACGCTCGTATAGCTCCTGAAGCTGGGGCACGTTGTCCAGCAGCCGCTCCTGTACTCACACCCACTCCATCTCCGCCGCCAGCAGGAGGGAAGCCCTTGCTTTCCCACCGGCAGGTGCTGAGCCGGTCCCGTGCCAGCAACACACACTCAAACTGTCCGAATGCCTGAACGTTTTATTTTCAAGTATAAAGGCTTTGTTGTAGAAGGGGGCCAGGGTCACAGGCAGTGGGAAGCGTCCGGAAGCCCGGGAGGAGGTGACATGCGGGCCAGCTGGCTCCCGGGGGCCCCAGCCAGTCCGGGGGCGCCCCGTGTGCCTGGGACCCGCCGCTGGACGCCGAGAGGCCGAGGTAGCTGTGAGAGGCGCTGGGTGCGGGGCGGAGGACGTGGGCTCACATGACCGCACAGCACTGGCACGTCTTTTGCTTCGGGCCACTTGCCTCTTCACCCTCAGCAGGGGCAGACGGCTTGGGCTGCCGGGCAGGGGCATAGGTGGGCACGGGCCGGGCACTGGGGTGGGCCCTGGGCCCTTGCACCCGAAGAAGTGGCTGGCACTCGGCAGGCTGCTCTGGGGTGGGGGTCTCCGCCAGGAGGGGGGTGGCATCCCCCGAGGGGCCCTGGCCCTCAGCAGGAGTTTGGGGTCTTACAGATCCCTCCTCCAGGGAGCCTTCCTGCTTCTCCTGGGGCTGGGGTTCTTCTTCTTCTGGCCTTGACTCTTCCTTGGCCCCCAGGGGAGCCCCTGCCTCACTCACCTCCTCTGCCTGACATTCCTGTCCTCTCCCGGACTCTCTCTGCTCTTCTGGACTCAGATCTTCCTCGACTGCTTCGGTCTTCTCTGCCTCCAGTGGTGCCTCACCTCCTCCTTCCTCGGCCTCCAGTGGCTCCTCACCTCCTGTTCTCTCTGCCTTCAGTGACTCCTCACCTCCTCCTTTCTCAGCCCCCAATGGCGCATCACCTCCTCCTTTCTCAGCCCCCAATGGCGCCTCACCTCCTTCCTTGGTCTCCAATGGCGCCTCACCTGTTCTCTCTACCTTCGGTGATTCCTTGCCTTCCTTTCTTTCCATCACTAAAGGTTCTTCGGTTGCCTTTACCTTTTCTTCATCTCCTTTCTGCTGTACTCCCAATGGTTCCTCATCTTCCTTTTCCGCCTCTAGCTCTTCCTCACCTCCTTTCTGCTCTACTTGCAGTGGCTCCTCGCCTCTTTCCGTCTCTGCCCTCAAAGGTCCCTCAACTGCTTCCCTCTCTGTCCCCAGCTTTTCCTCACCCCCTGTCCGCTCTGGCTCCAAGGAGTCCTCGCTTCCTTTCCTCTCCACCATCAGAGACATGTCTGCTCCTTCTTGCTCTGTCCCTGCCTTTTCCTCACTCCCCTTCTTTACTCCGCCTACTGGTTCCTCTGCTTGGCTGCTCCCTGCCTCCCAGGCTTCCTCCCCTGCCCCCCTCTCCACCCCCAGGGGACTCTCAGGTCCTCCCCCCTTTCCCCACACCCTTGGCCCTTCCAATCCCTCCACCACCAGTTCCTCCCACTCCTCGCTGAGGGTCACCCTCTCCACCCAAATGAAAGACCCCTCCTCTCCTCCAGAGCCCCCTGGCCCATCAGCATCAGGGCTGCCCCTGGGAACGCCACCTTCTCCAGGAGCTGCTCCCACCAGTCTCACCTGAAGCCTCGGTGAGCCGGTCTGTGCAGCCTTCCGGCCCCTGCCGCCCGCCTCCCCTGTGGCCTCTGAGTCGCTGCTGTCTGGTCCTCCCACCCCCTCCCAGACCACCTCCACGATGCCCCTGTCCTCTGTCACCCAGGAGGGGAGCTCTGGGCAGCTGGCTTCCTGCCTGTCCCCAACTGCCTCCAGCACCATCTCCTCTACCTTAGCCTCCAGCTCTGGGCCCGTGGCCCCTGTGGCACAGTCCTCTGTGGCCCTCAGCCCCTCCCATACCACCTTCACCACACCCCCTTTGGCCTCATCCACGCCACCCTTGGATGCTGCCAGCCCCTGACAAGGCTCCTTTTCTGGAGGGGGGCTGGGTCCAGGGCAGGGGCCATTGGCTTCTGAGGAGGCCCCTGCTGCCCCAGGGAACAACCTCAGGGCTGGTGGAGCCCTGACAGCCTCATCTCTGGGCTCAGAGGGGGACTCTGGGGACGTGTCCACTGGTCTGGCTGGTAGGGAGGCTCTCTTGTTCAGATCAGCGTGGTCTTGGGGAGAGGAGGAAAAGAGAGGAGACGGGGCAACAGAGTGAGATTCTGGCCCCCCAGATTTAGGCCCTTCTTCTTGGGACCCCCAAGGCCTGAGCACAAGCACCCACCTGTGGGACCTGCCTCCACCGTAGGCTGGGAGAGAGGTCGGTGACCCTGCAGGGATGGCAGAGACAAGGTCAGGGCAGCCCGTGTCTCCACCTCCAGCCTCCCTGCATGCGGGTACCCTCCCCTGCTCAAACACCCTCAATGTCCCCCCCCAACACATCTCGCTCAGGACCAAACCCGCAGCCTCCCTCACCTGTCTTATCACCTTCTGCTCTAGTGCATCACACACAGTAGGTGCTTAATCAATACTGTGTCCATGAGCCATAGCTCTGTATTAGGGACCTACTCTGTCAGCTACTGAGGTTGCTGTGGGACAAGGGACACTTAACTTAAGCCTTTTGCTATGGGGACTTACATTCCAGGGGGGGTGAGGTATAAACATAAACACAAATAAACATGTAATGCCAGGGAGTGAGCAAGACTATGGCAGAAAAAAATTAAAAAAAGCAGGAGGAGGGGCTCTCGAAGTGACACTGAACAGAGAGAGACCCAAAGGGTAGGAAGAGCTGGCCTTGAGTCGAAAGGTAGGTAAGGGCATTCCAGGCTGAGGGGAAAGCAAGTGCAAAAGCCCTGGGGCCGCAATGAGCTACACAAGTTCAAGGACTAGAAAAGAGGGTCAGCATAGCTGGAGTGGAGAGGGGGGCGGTGCGAGAGTATGAAAATGGGCTCAGGGAGGGGAGCGGAGGGATGGCCAAACTCCAGGGATCTCCTCCTCACAGTTCTCCGATCTTATCCTCTTTCCAGCCTCCAGGCCTTTACGTGGGCTGTTTCCTCTGCCTGGAATTCCCTTTCCACTCTTGCCTGGCTCCCCCTCAGATTCATATAGATGGCTCTGCCTCCAAGAAGCCTACCCTGAGCCCACAACTTCACTCAGGTGATTCCTCTGTGCTCCTCCCCTGCCCAGGTCTCCCCCCATCACAGACTCTTGGACGGTGAGCTCCCGTGGGCCAGGACTCCTACCTTGCACCTCTCTGGCAAGAACTCCTGGCCTATGCTAAAAACCCAACAAGTGCTTCCCACATCCATGAACAGGTCTCCTCCTCCCTCTGTGCCCTGAAATGGGCACCTAGGAGCTCGGGTAAGACATCAGGTGGAAAAGCTGCACCTCACTGTGGCCAGGCACAAATGTTGCCAGATTTTTGGACTTCAGGGACAACCCAGAGAGCCAGATTTTAATGTGAAGTTGTCGAAAGCCTGTGTGTTGCGTAGCATGCAGAATGTATCTTAATACAAGTGCTACTAAAACAAAAGCCTATGTGGATGCCCCAGATCACAAGAGCACCTCATGGTGACCCCTACTCTGAGGCCAAATTCCATGAGCACCCCCCCACACACACATTTTCCCACTGTGTTCCTCACTCTGGCCATATTAGCAATCATATAGGAAAACTTCTCATGTCTGGGCCTGGTGCAAAGCTATGATCTTGTTGATCCGCTCCCTCACCTCATCCAGCGTGCTGTTGCTATTCTCATTTTAGACATAGGGAAACAGGCTGGAGCAAGGCAAGTGACTTGTCCAAGACCACAAAGCAAAGAAATAGCAGAGGACTCAGTGGTTAAACTGCACCTGGAGAAATCCTGCTTTTGTCCCTGCTGGCTGCCTCCCCCACCACCCATTTGCTCCCCTGGCCCCTCACCTGTCTGCGCCAGGTGGGCCTGCCTGAGGGCTTGTGCTGGGCACCTGTGGATGCACCTTGCAACAGCTGCAGTTGGGATTGGAGTCTGAGGAAGAGAGGAGGCTGCTGGGAGCCAGGCCCCCAGGCTCAATGCTTCCCCCCGCCCCAACACACACATCAATCCCCAATTTGCCACTTCCCTGGAGTGGGCCTGGGGACCTGGCCTAGCCAGGCTGGCAGGGGCCCAACTCACGTGAACAAGCTGTCTTCCAGGTTCTGGATTCGGGCCTGAGCCTGGCCCTCAGGTGACTGGGGGTCTTTCGAGGCCGACTCCCCCTGCCGCTCCGTCCCCTCAGCCGTCCCGTCCATTAGCCAACGCTCCCGGAGAGACTTCCTCTGGGCATGGGAAGGTAGCTCGGGCTGTGCACACTGACTACCCCACCCCATGTAGGGTCCCCTCCTAATCTCCTAGGCTGGGAAGATTTCTTATTGCCTAAAACCACCCGAATGGGACAGACATTTCTCCTTCAGGGTGGGATATGATACACGGCCTCACTGTGCACCCCCAATGTTGCCAGGTGGGACAGACACCCCATTACCAGCCCATAGCTCTTCCAGCCTAGAACAAAACACCCATCATCTTCCAGAATGGGAC